CTTAGTAGTAATAGGATATGTCGTCTCTATCCCTGACGATGGGCTGGATTTGAGCATCGTGAACCCAAAATTGCGGATCCCTTTCGTCGACTACATCTGTCGTGGAATCGGGTCGTTGGAAGCTGAACGGCCAAGTCTGCAAATCAAAATAAATAACCGCTAAATTAAGGTTGTTGGTGACTGGAATTTAGTATTTAAATGATGATAAATGAGGTGCTAAGATGAGAATCTTAAAAACAATTATGAGGGTTAGTTTTAATGTATTTTGATACTGAAAATCCCCAGAAGTTTATGTACAGATAAGAAGTAGATTAGACTTATATAAATCGGTTTAATAGTCTTAAAATGATAAGTGACTTAAATATTTGACTTGTTTAAATAGTAGGTAGATTTTGCAACAAGTAGGTAGGCTTGCGCCTAGCGCTTTTGACGCCCTTGTGCAAATTTGAAATAACGCACCCAAATTGTATAAAGTTCATATGTGAGTACAGATATGGGTTAAGTTAGGTATTATTATCCACTATTAAAAAATAATTTTAAATAGTATTTTCATTACTTTATTTTCATTTTTATATTTTACAAATACCTACAAGCCATACAAGTATTTTTTAATTGAGGTACATAACATAATTATAAATTTATAGAAAACGGAAATATATTCTAACAGTATTACAACACAAAATTTTTGTATTTTAGTTTCAAATGTAATATATGATACAAAAGCACAAGAAATAAAAAAAATATTTAAAACATTAAAAATACTCGTTTATGTATCACAGGACGAAACTGATCGACAAATAAAAACAAAACAATATATTATTTTAATAATGCAACATGCCACCTTTTAAAGGTTAATATAATATCCAGGTATTGTTATCAATATTTTGGTGTCGGGACATTTGCCCAGTTTTTTTCAAGTACATTTTGATCCGGCAACGTTGTACTTAAGGTGGGATGGTACCAAACCACCCCAAAGCATCGGACAGATGCGCACGCATAGTCGTACGATAGATAGGATCCAGAGATTTAGGATCACGTCATCAGTAGTATTGGCAAAGGACATTTTAGAAGTAGGGGATAAGAAAACAATAATTTATTTAGATGTTATGACAATAAAAAAAGTAACTGTAAATACAAGTGAATAAAAATAAATAAAATTATCTTTAAAAAAATAAAGAAATAAACCGAATCTTCGAATAGACGCAGTGTGAATTCTTACATTTCAAGTATATACGGAGTGTTTCAGAATAAAATACTTGTACATCTTAACAAATTAATATGAAACGTTAAGTATAAACACAAAATTTTCTAAATATATATCCTTACGGTAAATATTTTAAATTACAAATATGATATGTTAGGTAATCGTCATTATTAGTTAACACACTTTATTTTTATAAATTACGATAATGCATTGGCGTAGACTCAAGGGTTATAAAATCAATATTTATCCAACCCTTTAGTAATATTAACTTACTGAGATTATTCGGTTTAAGTCCAACTCAAACATGAAATTCATGTACCATTTTATCAAGAGACGATTTCATAAAAAATATTAAAAATATTAGTAAATGGGACCAAGTTTTTATGGACTTAATGTGTCCCATTAGTAAAATTTTAGCATTTTCTGAATTTTTTAATGTAGATATTTCATGTTTGAGTGGGATTAAAACTAAAATATCCTGAAAATGGAATGTTCTACAGAGATCAACCAAGAGTCCATTTTTTGTAAGAAATTGTGTGAGGAATATTTATTAATTTCAGCTTTTATGAAATACTTAAGTACCTATAGGGTGTTCAAAAAGTTTGAATTAAAATTGTGTTCTCAGGCCTTATTTATTTAAAACATTTATTCACCTGTTAAATATTTAAAATATATACAACATTACATAAAATAACAGAACACTTTTCCTATCAGAAATGTGACAGCCTTGCAGGTACCCGCTGGGCCAACAATGCACCTATAGTATGCATTGTTACTTATTAATTATGAATTTGGCTAGATATAGCAGCACGGGCAGACACGAATTGAGAACCAAAATGAAAATATTAAGAAGGGTTTATTTTTGTACCTGAAAATATGACACGAATTGAGGACCAGGCTTCTGAGAAATAATTATAGTAAGTGCACCGAATTGCGGATTAGGGATTAAGGTTGTAATGATGATTCATTGCGTTAACGAGCATTTTATTACTTTACTTTCGAAATTCTAATATATATTTGAAGTGAGTGTTTTGTGTTTAGTTTATTTTGAGCAGTCTTGTAAAAATGAGTGAAATTAAAATGATCTTAAGTGAAAAGGGAAAGTCGTTACTTGTGTGGGATGATTTTAAGTTTCGTGAAAAAAAGGTTCTTAAAAGTGGTGAAAAGTTTTGGACTTGTACTGTAAGTAAATGTAACGCAAAAGTATTTACGCTAGGTTCAGATAATATAATTTCTCGAAAAGAAACAGTGCACAATCATGAAAATGACATAAAGAAATTAAATAGACAAATTTTGAGTGTAGCAAGCAAACGGAAAGCTGTAGAAGATATCACAGAACGGCCATCGAAAATCATACACTCTGTTTTAAGGGAAAACAGTGATACAATGGACGCTTTGACAAGAAAAGACATTACATACATAAGAAATAATATGTATTACAAAAGACGTCAAGTCCAAGCACGTTTACCAAGCAATGTATCAGATGTTTTCGATATTTTACCAACATTAAATTTGACAACAATTAAAAATGAACCATTTCTCTTGGCCACTGATAATATTAACAATATTGTAGTATTTTCGTGCTATACTAATTTAAAATTTTTGTGTAGTAGTGACAAAGTGTATCTTGATGGAACATTTCGATATTGTACGAAACATACTTTACAGTTGTTCACACTTCATATCGTAGAAAACGGCCATTATATACCAGTAGCTTTTTGTTTATTACCGAATAAACTTCGTTTAACATACGAAAGACTTTTCGTTATTCTTAAAGAAAAGTGTTGTAATGCTAATTTAATATTTGTTCCAAAAATTATTGTAGCTGATTATGAACTAGCTATTCACAAAGCAATTTCTGCGCAATGGCCCACCACAAAGATCATTGGATGTAGGTTTCATCTTGGCCAAGCTTGGTACAGAAAAATACAGAGTTTGGGATTGGCTAAAGAATACCAAGATGAAAAAAGTGCAACTGGAAAATGGATGAGGTATCTTTTTGGATTGTCTTTTTTAAAACCCGAAGAAGTTGGAGAATGTTTTGCTTTGGATTTGGCTGAATTTCAGCCCGATCATATGCATAAAGCTGTGGTAAATTTAGCTGACTATTTAGTAAAGAATTATATTGAAGAAAATTCTTTATTTCCACCAACAATTTGGGCTGAAGCCGTTGTAACTACAGAAAATTCTACCAATGCATGCGAGTCCTTTCATTCTAGATTTAATTCAAATTTCTATTCAATGCACCCTTCATTGTATTTATTTGTAAATGTTTTGAACAATTTTCAAACAGATACTTATATTCGTATTAACAGCCTTAAGGAGTCTGTTAAATGTAACAACAAAATTGTTAGACGAAGATTAAATATGTTAACTTCAAAAATGTTAGAATATAAAAATGGTTCTATAAAACGAATAGATTTTGTAAAATTCGCATCAAATTATCATAAAGTGTATTAAATGTAAATAATATGTATATGTTTAAAAAATTAATTATAAATTGTAAATTGTGCAATAAATATCTATTTTTATCTGAATTCGTACTTTTCTTCAAATTTTGCAAATCCATCAGAAGACAAATAATAATATTATAAATGGGTATAGTGATAAGATACTTCAATTATTGAGAAGTTTGTTCCTCAATTCGTGTCATATTTCCAGGTACAAAAATCTCTCTCAGTAATCTAGTTAACGCAATGAACCCTCATTACCACCTTAATCCCTAATCCTTAGTACGGTCCGCAATTCGGTGCACTTATTTGGTCTGTGCAGGTAGTGGTCCTCAATTCGAGAACACCGAGCAGCACTTACTTCTTACCAGGGAGGCATAATTAAGGGATTAAGGATGTCTTGAAGTCAGTAATTGTAATGGTTTGTAGATTTGTCTTGTGTTAGTTATCTTTATTGTCCAATGGGTATCGTATTTTGTCGAATTAGAGTGTCAACTAATAATGACGATTAACTTACATACATATATTTTTAAGTTAAAGTCTTTACAGTAAGGAAAGATATTTAGCAAATTATGTATTTATTAAATTTACTTTATCACCCTGTAGAATGAAAACTTGGACGTTTACAGGAAAATTATATTTAGCTTTTCCTAATAATTAGTTAAGATCTATAAATCCTCAGTTTACAGTACTTTCTGAAACACCCTATATATAAAAATAATAAAATTTTACAGACGCAAATAGAAATTTTAAATAAAAATTCTATTTTTTTAACACTGTATTTAAAAATAAAGATGAGGTATTTACTTGCATTTTATGTAAATATGTAACCGTAATGGGATAAAAAATAAGTTAATTATTCGAGATATTTAAAAAAAAAATTATTAAATATTTGTAAATAATGGCATTGTAGGTAAATATACAAATTTTAAAAAATACATTTTACAAAAAAATATAAAACAATATATTTAAATATAACTTAACTTAAACCATAAAAAAATATAATTTTTGTAAATAGCTTAAAATTTTCAAACATTTATTAATATTTCCGTCTTCATTAAGTTTTAATAAACAGTTTTTGATTTTATTATCTATACCAATGTATACTTTTCTTCTTTTGGTCGATAATGGTAGCCCAAACTCCTTTCGAAGTATTTCGCTTTCTTGGAATTCAGCTTGAACTCGAAGAAACTTAATCAATTCATACACATTGGGGTCGTTTCTTAATCGAATCTGTAATTTGTTATTCCATCCACCTACGGCATTGTTTGTAGTGTCTTAAATTATAGCAATTCCATACGGCTCTTGGCAACGACTTATTTTCAAGCCATTGGTTTATGAAATAGTTGTTAAACTCTTCTATTTTTTTGTTAACTGGACAATCCTTCATTATTTCCAGCCATCCCTTCAAAGAACACATTTTTATGTGGTTTTGGATTTCCATATCATTCTTGTATAAAGAAGCTAATCCTACGCTTTGGA